ATTTCGTCAAACTTCGGATTTACCTACTTCCACTCAAAATACGGTTGTAACGACCGTTACTTCAAATACTAATACTTCGCCGGTCGAATCTTCTACTCAAAATACGGTCGTACCGACTGTAACCTCAACTACCACTCCTGCTGAAACGACGCAAAACACGGTTACTTCGTTCAGCCAACCTGTGAGTACCTCATTCCACCTCTTCATCTCTTTCACCTTCCTTTCTTCTTTGCGTCTTTTTTCGTGACGCTTTACTTAAAGAGATTTTCTCTGTCCATTTTTCCTTGCGACACGAATCCCGTTGTTTTTGTGACAGAGTCGTACCACATCTCAAGAACGTCCAGAGATAACATCTACAGAAGAAATTACTACAACTCCTACTACCACTTCAACTCCTGTAACCTCTTCGTCCACTCCTGAGACTACAAGCACGACCACTGATCCTGAAACTTCTTCCACTTTTGTTCCTCCCTCTACTACTTCGTCATCATCTGATCCTGACACTTCCTCTACTTCATTTGATCCTCCTACTTCATCCCGTACAACTGTTACACAGATCGAAACCACCAATTCCGGTGAAAGGACACAGGAAATTATCACTACGGATTCTGTGGGTTCAACGACTAGAGTGATTACTACCCAAGATGAAATCACTAGTTCAGGTATGCGTCCACATCTGTCCTGAATTCTGTGTTGTCGCGTACTCAAATTTTATATCCACAGTCCGGACAACCCCTATAGCTCAGACAACAGCAACCGAAGCTGCCACGTTCACAACTACAGGTGTGTATTATCTCGCTCAATTCTATCGTGCTCGTTTCCAAGGTTATTCCTACTTAGATGCTGCTGGATCGACGGTCTTGACTGTACCCGACTTTTATACCACGGTTTTCACAAGTCAGTCAAATGGACAAGCTATTACGGTCACACAGGTTGTTGCTCAGGGCACCGGTACATTAAACAAGGATCCAGGCAAAGGAAACAACAAGTAAATAGCCAACTTTCTTCTTTGCATGAACATATCATGACATCGTTTTCTTTTAGCTTCTTCAGCAACAAACCTGCAGTTGCTGGAGTTTTCGTGGTTGCGGGTATTGCTGGTGCTGCGATTGTTCTCTTTGGTGTGTTCACATACTTGAACCGACGTAAAGCGGCTCGATTGCGAAGGGATGCCCTATTGCGGAATGCAATGGCAAGTCAGAGGTATGTTCAATTACCCGCGTGATCAATCGTGTGCTAAGCTGTTCATTCTAGGACGCCTTTCGCTGACGAGCCTGATGACGATTCGGGACCATCTGGACCTCCTAGTGGACATATGGACATGGGTTATCGGACTGGAGATGCTATGTATGGTACTACTCCCGGAGGTGGACACTACAGTGCTCCAAGTACATACAGTGGAAACTCTGTACCATTCGATCCCCATCATACTGCTTACAACAACGCGGCTCCTCCAAATCCTGCAAACAATTGGTCAATCGGTCCAACTGGCGGCGAAGGAAACTATGGGTATGGACCTACAGCCGACAATCCATACGCGCCCTCACAATCACCTCCAATTGCTTCAAGCGATACCCCGCTTTTAGCAGGCGACCATGTGCCTCCCATGGATCCTTACAACAACTATGCTCCACAGAATCCTGGTGCCGGTAATGGTGGTCCTATTCAGGGCACGTCTGGTGGAGGTAGTGCTCCTACCGCAGGTGGTGGTGGTGGTGGTGGTGGCGGTCCTACGGCTGGTGGAGGAGGTCCAAGTGGATTCTATCCACCACAAGGTTATGACTATGGAAATTATGGGCATTATGGAGACTACCACGACTATGGCGGACCTTCAACATCTGCTGGTCCTAGTGGTTCTGCTCCTGCACCCGCGCCTTCCAACATGACATATTATGGCCAATCCGGACCTTCAGGTGTTGCTCCGCCCCCACCAGGCGCCGCTAATGTCCCTCCTCCCGCTGGTGTTGGATACTCCCTTCCTCCAACCTATGCTCAGGTGTACGCTTCAGCTCCACCCGCTGCACCGACTATGGTAGGAGGCATCCCGGCACTTCCAACTAGCGTTCAACAGAAACGGACTTCGAATGCGCCATCGGTCACGACTACATCCTCGGCATATAGCGTGGACACCTCTGGCAATGACTTTGGTGCTATTCCCATGACTTCTCTGAACAAGCAGCAAGGATCACGGTCTTCACATGGACACAACACTTCTTCAAGCAGTAGCAAATTCTTTGGATCCGGGAAACCGAGTTCGCACGGTCACGGTACAGGATATCAAGATTACGATGACAATACCCCAGGAACTGATCCACGAGTGTCACCTCAATATGGATGGAACAAACCTGATTCTCCACCATTCGTCGATCAGAGATTGGATCCTGAAAAGGTTCTTAGTGCACGATCTAAAGGAGCATACGGAGGGAAATCGAAGCAGTTGGAATACGCGGATAGCATTGGAAGCGAGGAGAGCTTGAGGGATGACCACGACTACTCGAGAAGGGTGCTCAAGGTATGTAATCGATGATTGTACGAATTACTGATGCTAACGATTGGCTCTAGGTCACAAACGTGCTGTGATAACCTTGTGGTTTTATCCCCCCCGCTATCTCTGTAACTCTCCATCGACTCTCCACCTCTGTATTCTCAAATCCTTTAGAAGCTAACCTCCCCTTTTGTTAACGTATCATAGTCTGAACCTTTCTTGAAACCTACTGCTTTGCTTATTCATATGACGCCCATGGACTCCTTATTTCTTGAACCTTATGCCCACCCTCCAAAGCTACTTATGCCCCATATTCTCTGGGCGGTGGCTCTATTGTTTGAAACGCAATGAGCCACTTTAGTTTGTTTGCTTTCTTCATATTTACTTTGGGGTGATTCTTTCTAGCCACGATCATCATGTCAGAGCGACATTTATTCCATTAGCAATGACACTTTGATGCAATTTCGGACTACATTATGAGTTGAGGGTGTAAATGTACTCTAAAGAGCGAGCATTATGCCCGGGGTTTTTTCTGGATTAAGATTAGTGAGAGTACTTTTTTGGAAGTTTGTTTCAGTAGCCATGTCGGTGCAGAACTTGGATTACTGTGAAAGTTCATTGTAGAGTGCCTTGTACTCCTCCGCAAGTTCTTCGACGTCATTGAACTGAGGACTGTGGCGACTATTAGCGCTGCTCCAACTCGATTTCGCTTGATAACTTACTGGACGGCTAACCACTGATGAAGAGCCTCCTTAAGACTGTTGCGCGTGTCTTGAATGACATTGTCACTGGTTCCTTCGCTGAACTTGTAGGACTCCCATAGTTGACGGTGCATTTCGACGTTGGCAGTGAGCAAGGCCTGGCGATTCTCTTGCTCGAGCTCCGGGTAGGTAATCAATCCCCCATTCTCGCTATTGTAGCACCGTATTCAGGTCATAATCCACTGAATCCACCAAAAAAACTTACTATTCATGGAACCACTCAGTCAGAAGTTCTGACAGCTTCTGGTAATTGGCAGAAGCAGCTCCTCGAGTAGCTGGGATGATTCCTGATTCGCTGTCGTGGAATGAACATCAATGTCTTCTCGAGTGTTTCATAATGAAATTTGAACTCACAAGAGCTTGGCCCATTTCTTGAGTGCTGTAGCGTCATTCGGTACACTTTGCGTGTACAACTCGCCATAATTCTGAGTGAGTTCTGGGGTAGCCATGAACTCCCCCCTTGCGTATTCATCGAAAAACTTGTTCAACAATCCTTGAAGCTTTGCCTGATTCTCAGCAGCTAGCTCAGGGGTAGACATGATTTCTCCCGCGTTGCTGACCAAAGAGTTAGTCTTCATCACTTTGGTGATACGAATGCAACTCACTATTTGTTGAACCAGGCTTGCAAAGTCCGAACGTCTTGATGCTCCTGGGGAGTAAGCTCGCGTCGCCTATAATTACAAACGTCAGCGAACCAGAACTCAGGCCAATGACCATCAATGCGTACAGTAAGCCCGATGAGAGGGGTGCACTGAGGGATCCGGATGCCAAAAAGGCAAGAACGATGAGAGCCGAGGGTACGCGCATTAGTATTTTGAAAGGGAGATGAAACTGCAGTTGAGAGGATATGCTGGTGTCTTGTGTCTCGTAGATACCTGAGACTATTTATACATATCCTCAACGTAACTGTTTCAGAGCTGCTGTGGCAATGCCTAGAAAGTATCAGCCCAAGACTATCGGCTCTTGAAAGGCTTGGATGTTCACTGATGATGATCCGCTCCATGGAGCTTGAGGGCTTCACGAATTCTACGAGGATCCGTCCATCATGGGTGATTAACCCCGCAAGCCTTGGACATTCGGGGTGTTCCGAATCAAAGTCATGGGTTTGTCGATGTAATAGATTGATTCAAGTGTTGAGGGAATTGAGAGGTGCTAGAACCATAACGAAAGTGGAGAATGACAAATGTGGGGAAGGTAGGCGAGGATCCTTGAGTCCGTGGACACTGATCATTACCCACCGGGCCTTGCAATTTCAATCTTGTATACCATTACCGC